CGGTTCTTGTGGTTCTAGAGCTTGACCAACTTTTTTGCTCGAGTCTCTAGCTTGAAAATCTTGATTTTAAGAATGAGTGATTGCCACTGACCAACTTGGTGGAATATTTAAATTTCCTTAACAAGCATAGTGACATAGGATGTTGCCTAGTTCTTGCCCATGGATCTTGCCTCTTCATAGTCCAACACAATTCAAGATTTGCAGCCTCATATTCCTCTCTCCAAATCCTTTGAGAATTAAATGAAAATAACAAATTGGATAGCATTAGCTGGCTCGTGACTTCACCATCATTTAATATTAACTTCTATTATTATGAAATCTTTCATAAAATATTTGTGCATATCTTCGGTACAGAAGTTTCTCTCATTGTAGTTCACTATGTCCCCGACAAAATAAATTTCTCATCAAAACTAATACTATTCATTATAGTATAGATCATCATCAGTCTAGATAGCAAATATTGATAATTGAAGCTCACGTCGCTTACTGCTTGTAGCAAGTTTATATGTTTAAGGAAGAGGACATCAAGCGGTCATTGGTTGTGCAATTCTTTTGATTGAGGAGTTGTTTGACAAAATTTTTGATGAAAGTTTTTGCAGATTTTAATTAAAGTTGATGAAATGTGTGGTTGAAAATAATTAAAATAAATAAAAACTCCAGCCGACGGTGACCTGATTTTATATCATAACAATGCATCATTAGTTTAATTCGAATACTAAAAATGTTTAATTTAGTGAAAATTAATGAATTGATTCCTAATGCTGTTTAAGGGGTGTTCCCATCTCTGTCTAGGAATAAAGTACGGATTGACCCGACATTGTTCTTCTTAGGCATGTTCTTGTGACAATCTAAATAAAAACAATAAGATATGCCTTTTTTCACATGTATACATAGTATCTAATTAATTTAAAGATTTTCAGAATAGGGAAAAAATTTTAACTATTGATTCTTAACTTTTGAGAGAACTTGCTGGCATTGTTTTGTAAGTTGAGCATGAGAGGCTATATGATGACTTAATCGCGTGGAGAACGGGGTATTTTTTCTTTGAGAACTGATGGTGTATTATAAAATGAAACATCGTATGCCAGATATGTCAAATTCATTCCTAACTTTGAGAGTTTGAAATTAAGAGAAGCGACATCTTTTGACAACTCATTTGAAAAGTTTCTCTTAACGCGGATTATCCTATTTTTGACATGAATCCCTCTAATTTTTTGTTTTCTTCGATAGAGGGACTTCAATTTTCACATTACTGATCCCACAAGAAGAACAATCCGTTTCCACAAGTGTGGACAAATAAAAAAGAATTTTCCCACAAACTAAAGCTCATCTTCGTGTGTGTGACTTTTCCTACACTTTTCCAAATAAAGGGTTATCTTTTAGTTGTACCGTAATATAAAAGAATCACATCGATTTCTTCAAAAAATAAATGAAAGACATTTGAATGAAATAAATTCCACGTAGCCTTGAGTGTAACAGTTGAAATACTTCATTCAAAAAAATTAAAAAATCGAAGCTTGTGTGTGAGATAGATACAGTTGTTGTAATATGTGACTCATACAGAATGAAACATATATTTATTAGAATAAATATATTGATGCCTGTGTAGAGCGCATCGAACGAAACGGATTATATATGATATAATCCTATTATTGATACATAATACAAATCACATATAGGTCAATTGTCAAACCATGTAAATCTTGGTTTGTATTCATCACTGTTGTTGCAAAAATCTCAAAAAGGGTTAAGAAGAACGTTTGGAAAGTGTTTATTAATCATTTAAATTACAAATAATTGATGAATAAGAATAAGTGAATAGTACTTGCGAATCCCTCCGAGTAAAATAGACTTAGCCGCCGTTTAGCCCCCCCTTTTCGGAAATGAAAATAAGTGGAATAGTATTTTATTAAAAAATAAGTGATTGAAAAAGAAAGAAAATTTTTTAATTTATATGTAATATTATTTTATGAAAAGTTGTGTGATTGAAAAATAGAAAAAAAAAATGAAATATAATTTAATGATATTCAAATGGGTGCTTAGACGCGTTTTAGGAACTTTTGCATGACAGACCGACACCAGCTGTTTTTCCTGCCAAGGATAATATGTACTATGTTTACTGTTGTACTGCGCGTTCTTAGTTTTCCTTTTCTTTTTAATGAATTTTTAAGATAATTTGTACACTCCATAAGCATCCCGCAGTATCCCAGAACCTGCTTCTACTTAAATCTTTTGTTTCTCTTTCTACTATATATCATTTATGTAGGCCATGTGAGGACAAGAATTCGAGAATTTACTATAATTTTTGTTGAATCCTATGCTATAAATATCAACCCACAATCACTTCTCCTCTAATTTTCCTTAAAGATTCTTCAATCCTGTTAACAATGGTGAAGGTAGATAACAAATCTTCGTCCTCGTCCTCGTCCTCGTCCTCGTCCTTGTTCTCGACCTCGACCTCGACCTCAAAATCGCAGTGCAAAAAGAAGTACAAGGGAGTTAGAATGAGAAGTTGGGGTTCTTGGGTTTCTGAAATAAGGGCACCTAATCAAAAGACAAGAATTTGGTTAGGTTCTTATTCAACCCCAGATGCAGCTGCTAGGGCATACGATGCAGCTCTTTTCTGCCTTAAGGGCCCCTCTGCAGACCTAAATTTTCCATTGTCACCTTCAAAAAATCTTAATCCCGATTCTATTTTGTCACCTAAATCCATTCAAAGAATCGCAGCAGCGGCGGCAGCAGAAACAAATTTGAGTCCACAGTCTCCACCTTCTGCTTCCTCCAGTTGTTCATCATCGAATTCTTTGCCATTGCCTTCAACAAATAACAATAGTATGTTGAATGAAAACGCGAAAATTTCGAGCGTACAATCTTCACCTTCCATTTCGTCCGGTTCATCATCATTGAGTTCTTTGCCATTACCCTCATTATCATCGTCTACTTGTTCACCATCGGATCGGTTTGAAGATCATGAGTTTGTCGCAGATGAGCCATTGATCAGAATGATGAACTCATCATGGTACGCCTTTGATTCACCTAAGTACAATGATTATATGCTCAATGGGGTGTTCTTTGATCCATTGATGACGGAGGATTCATATGAAGATGCTGATATCAGTTTGTGGAGCTTCTGCTGATCAAGAAATTAATAATTTTAAAACATGTTTATTTTTTTCATTCATTGATTGATCTTTAGTTTGTTTCTTGAAGATTGTAAAAGTAGTCGAGCCTTTTCAATTGCAAATACCATACAAGTCGAACCTCTAGATTATTGCTAAAGTATTGGACATTTATTAAAAAAAAAAAAAAAGAGTTGAAAATAAAAATTTGACCGCTTTAAATAGGTACTTTTCGAATGTTTTAGTAAATTGCTTTTTTTTGGAGGGCGTGAAAAATACTTTTAGAAGTTAGTCATTTGATGCAACAAAGTACGAAAGAGCTAATTTATGGATAGGCAATAGACAACTTGACGAAAATTGAAATATGTTCATAGACAAAGAAAAAGAAATTAGTAATTCTGATAGTAATAACAAGTTAAATAAGAGTAACCTAGATCGTAAAAATAGAATGATCAATACAATACATACTAGACGAACATTTAGCCCTCGTTTAAGTTGACTAAAAATTAATTTTTTAATAAATTGTGATTAAAATTGATGCAATGTATAATTAAAAAGTAGATAAAAAAAATATGGGTCCGATAAAATGTTTAATTGAAAATGATTTCGTAAAAGGCAAAAAAAAAAAAAAATAATAATAATAATAATAATAATAATGGGATCAAACATGTACTTAATTTCACAACCATGTAATCCAAGTACAGTGTATTTGACACCTTAACAGAAATGGAAAATTTTGGTCCAACCATACCAAATTTTCTGCATGGAGCCATGACTTTGAAAGTGCTTGGTTCCATGCCCATTTGTTTCACTTACATTGTACTTGGTCTTTTTATGACAAACATTATGGACCATGCCACAAGCTTTTTATTCTATAAAAATCATTTGGAATGAATATATACATACTAGGTTGATAAACTTAGTTTACCAACTATGTGTTGGCAAGTCATGTCAAAAATAGTTTCCGAAATAAATGGTCTAGATATTATGAGCACTTAATCCCTGTTTGTCATTCATTATGTTACATTCTGTCATATTATTTTTTTATATAGTATTCATTTTCAACCATACATTTTTCATTAAAATAATATTATATGCATATTAAAAAAAATTTCTTCTTTTTTAACCATACATTCTTCATCAATTTATTACTTCATAATACATTTTTTAAAATTAAAAGGACTCAAACAAATTTTTAGTTTGTGAACAAACTTTGTACAAGTAGATTAATTCTAAAAATAAACTATTCAACCAAAAAATGTACATAGAGGGCCCACATCAGATTTTCGGCCCTTTCTTCTAGTGAACTGTGAACATGGCACTGCCCACCTTTGAATTATTATTTCAAGTTTATTACAACATATCATGTGGTCTCAAAAACTAAATAGGAAATTTTCATTTTATTTCTTAGGTGTCATTAACTTTTGAAATAATCACATAAAATTCTTGTTCTTTTGGAATCCGATGATATAATATCATGTGTAACGAAAAAAATTTCTTTTCGAATAATTTTGAAAAATACTAATTGAAGATCGCAGTTGTTATTTGAACATGATTTCGATGTGTTTCCTATAAAATAAAAAAATAAATTGGTGTTTGTTTTGAAACTTACTTTTATAAAAAATTAACTTTTAAGTATAATTTAAGAATTTATACAACATTTTGACATTTTTACATTAGTCGAATGACAAAATATGAGTTCAAGAACAAATCGATTTAAAACAAAGAGGAAATTACACCCAGCCAGGGTTTTGAAGTTCACTATGTATAAATCATGGGCCCAACTTTTCTAGTCAAATATTCGATATTAGATTAAAAAAAACTAATTATTTAAAATATTCGTGGTTTCGTTGTTAACGCTCTTCAAATCTACCTTTCTTCCTTCTCTTACCAAACGAGAGAAACTGCCCCAAATATCTCCCCACGATCTGTGATAAACCACTCCGTCAGTTACGAACCTCACGAAATCTCCGGTTAGTTATCCCGCTCCAGCCTGTCAAGGAAATAATCTTCGTCACATACCGGATATTCTTCCTGTACCCCGTCACTCTGTCGAAAAACTTCCATTTTACGGTCGACAAAAAAATGACTAAACCCAAGGCGATAAACATCCATGGCACGCCAGAAAGGAGAGGAAAGAGGAAGCACGAGGAAAGCCCAACGAAATCCCACATGAAAAAGTCTGCGGCGTCATCTATGACCTTGCGAAAAGTCCAATCGAAAATGGTATGTTGATTTTTATATTCTGTTAATACATTAAGTGACAGGCATTGATTGAATAATCGTTAGGTAACGTGTATTGAAGACATATTGAAGATATGTGACATTGAAATATGTTGATTTCGTTCCGTCGTTGGAATGGGGTAGAGTTTGCCATTTTGAACGCAGAATGTTTGTTCATTTGATTTTTCGTTTTCGATATTACAAATAATCTGTTGTCTATTCACGAATAAGCATACATTTCGAATCTGTGACGTAAATGCATATGGGTATGATCACATGTGACCTTACTGTAATGGGGATTGGGCTCTGAATGTGATCTTAATATATGAATGAGACTGAAGTTTGTTGTGAATATGTGACCTGCGTGAAAAGACTTTGTATGCATGTGATCCGACTGTTAACATGGTTGATGATGTGTTTTTAGCCATACGATGTCCATTTCACCTATATGTGACCAGGTGTGTGACCATTTCACCTATATGAAACCAGGTATTCTCAATGCAAAGACACTCATATGTACATCTACTGCTTTCCATCACAGTTGTAGTTATAATGGTTGAAGACCAAACCAAAATTAAAAACAAATGAAAAATATAATTCCGGGTTCTCATGTTTAATAACATTTGGTAAGAGTGTCCTCAGCTTGATGTTGCATGATCTTTGCTTCATAGGACATGTGGTTAATGGTGGGATATGAAATGGGCCCCATGATCACTTGAAAATTTATGTAAAAGTTGTTACTTATAATTCTTAACAGGGTTGAGAATGTGACTGAAACCTGTTGAGAATATGTGGCCTGAATGAAAAGACTTTGTATGCCTGTGAGCTGACTGTTAACATGGTTGATGATGTGCTTTAGTAATATGATGTCCATATGTGACCAATTTTACATATATGTGACCTGAATTTAACCTATATGTGACCACATCACCTAAATGTATTTCCATTTCTATCTCTGAATTACAGTACAGGTGCTTAACAATTTTACTATTATTAATGCTTTATGTAGGTCTGGCACTTTAAAATACCTGAAAAAAGTTGGTTTCCTAGCAAGATTACCACTTCTGTATACAAGGTTGTTCTCACCACTATACAAGAAAAGTTAAGCCAAAGCCAAAGCCAAAAACAGGTATTGAGGGGGCACATGCTTTGCCCACTTCCTGGATTGCCATGAAATAGTGATTCAACCACAGTAGATTCACTACTTCCTTCTGAGGCAGGTTCAGCACCCGAATGAAGAAGAAATATGGTTTTATGTTTCTGGGCGGTACGTCAGGTTCTCTATATCTGAGTTCTGTTTGGTCACAGGATTGAGATGTTCAGGCGATACAGATACTGAGGTTTTTGAAAATAGGCACTCAAAGTTGAAGGCCAAATACTTTTCACAAGTAAATACTATCACACATGAAGATGTGAAGGACACATTTCTGTCTGCATGCCAAATGCCTGATCTCGATCTGGTTGAAGCCTTACCAAATAATGATGTTGCAATGTTCGGGGTTTTATATTTCCTAACTGCCTATCTCTTTCCCCATGACTACAAGAAGGTTGTCGATTACTTCCTGTTTGTTCTTGTTGAGGACTTTAATGAAATGAACAGTTTTCCATGGGGCAAGCTGCTATTCCAAATTACTCTGGGTGCATTGAGAGATGGATTTAGCAGGAGGACCCCACACTATAGGCTACGAGGAATGCTTGTAGCCTTCCAAGCATGGATATACGAGACTTTTCCCAGTCTTGAGGGCATCGTGGTCACCAGGATATTGAGGGTGCATCCCCGCATTGTAAATTGAATGGCAGATGAGCAACCATCAACTGCCAAATTGGAAGGACCCAACTGCTTCTCTAATCCTAAGGTAAAGTTCCAGTAAGCGTCATGCAATTAATACTGAATTTTTGACTTTGCATTCATATAAACAAGATATTGTATTGCAGATTGTGATTTATGACTTGGAACCGTTGGAAAGTGAAATGGCGATGCCATACATGAATGGAGTCCAGTACAACAAGCCGATCTAGCCGACGTCCTCAACCCAGAGCCGAAGAAGAACCAAGCGCAGGACGGAGAGGACTGTTGAAGATGTCGGTACTAGCGGGAAGTTAGTTCCATCAGTCCTACCGTTGATGGAAAGTAATATTGGACAAGCTCACTCTTCAGATGAGGACGACGATTTTGTTACTCCTCCTCCAAGACAGCAGGAGCCATCCGCCCGTGGAAAATCCCCGGTTGTTGAAGGTCCTACAGCCGCTCATCATTCTCAAGAGGAGCCACAATCTCATGGGGCACAAAGGGATGACGTACGTTGTTGTTTTAGTCAGCTCTCAATATTTCCATCATTGGTCACACTTCAATATTTCCTATGGCACATTACATACACATCAGGTCATAGATAGATCACTGTGCATTGCATGTTGATGGTTGGTCACAGATATGTTGCAAGCAACATCTAATAATCAGTTATTCATTTTTGTCAGGCTTTTGAGGTGTTGCGTGTGCAAGTATTCGAACTCCAGGCAAATAATAAAGTGTTGAAGATGGAGCTTGAAGACATCAAGTCACATATGTCATCTTTGAATGAAGGGAAGACTAACAAAATTGAAGACATTATTCAAATGCAAGCCTGTATTAGAAATGACCTAATGGATATTCGGACGAACATGCAGTTTCTATCTGAGTCCTTGTCAACAATGATATTCAGTGCAATGGATGAGATCATTAGACGGTCTGGTGACAGGACAAGCGAGCATGGAGTAGGACAAAAAGAAGCTCCTGGAGTTGGAGATCAAGAACATCATGGGGCTAGTGGATTTGAAAAGGCTCAGGAGGTAGTCACTTGATATATTTTACATTTCTGTAAAATAACATAGTTCATTTTGACATTTTCCATTCAACATGTAGGTGAAAAACGTAGTATCAAACGTCGACAGAAAAGGGAAGGGCAAAATGGACCCAAGTGATGATCTTCTCTTCTCCCTTGAGCCACCATCATTTGATTTGGGGATTAAATTCACCCCACCCAATGTTTTGCATTCGGAGGAAACTCAGAAGAGGCTAGATTCCATCATATCTGATGTGGTGACCGCAACAAAGACTATAGAGAATGAGGTATTTACATGGTCCAGTAGTTGTAGATCTCAAATCGCACATACCTCCAAACCATGTTATATTATTAGGTCACAGATCACACACACTTCAGATCATGTCTTATTCATAGGTTACATTTCACTGATATTCCAAACAAAGTCGCTTTCATAGGTCACAGATCATGCACAATACCAACACATGTTCCAGTCATGGGTCACAGAGCACAGATACCTTCAAACCATATCCCATTCATAGGTCACAAATTAAACACAGTTTCGAATCATGTCACATTATTAGATAACAAATCACAGATTCCTTCATCCCATGTCCTATTCATAGGTCAGGATAACATACATTCCAAACCACGTTTCATTTATGGGTCACATATCACAAACACATTTACACCAGGTCACATGTATAGGTGACAGACCACATACAAACTACGCCACAGACAGCTCATGTGCCGTATTTTCAATCTATTTTGTAACCTACTGCAATAACATACAGGGATCACCTACTGCTGAACCAACCTCGGGATTACCAGTTAAGCGGGTTTTAAGGCCATCGAGGGTATTGCAGTCTCCTTTTGTTGCCGGACAGGAGAGAGGAAAATTATTCAAATACGATGATAATGTTGTCGTTTTTGAGGATTACGAAGACAATATCGACGAGGTTGACAAATCGGCCTTCGTGGGTTGGTTCTAGAGGGGGTACAAGCCAAAAAACAAGTAAGTGCATTTCGTACCTATCTGTCAAAATTTACTCAATACATAATTTGACAAAACACATGTAATCTTTATTGTCGGCCACAGGAAAAAGTTTAGCGAGGAAGATGACGCCATCAAGCCTGCTTTTCTAATTGGTTCATTCCCAATAGGTCATAAGACCTGGTTCCATGAGCTTATAAATTCGGAGTTATCATTGAGTGGTGCGGTATGATTACGTTTACCCACTGAATTAAGTTACATTACTTTTTTTAGATTTCTGACTTCTTTCGTACTCGTTAAGAAGAGTATCAGAGATGATACAAACATGTCACATTTCGTATTGTAACTAGTCACAGAGTCACATTTGATACAGACACATTTTACATTCGTATCCAGTCTGGGAGTACACAATGCTTACATCTTTTCTTCTCATTTAAACAGAGCATGGATGTCTGCTTCTACTTCATTCGACAGATAGCAAAACTTTGCAAAAATGTGAAATATAAGGCCACTATTACAAACTCATGGTTCCAAATGAAAATAAAAGACATTTTTCCTACCTTCATGAAAGACCCAAATGTTCTGCTGTCAGAGTCAAGCCTGCTTGAGGTTGCAATAGTTCACAGCCTCCCTTTTAGCTCACCCTGGGCTGACGTTGATTTTGTATTCATGCCGATCATACCCACTAACAAAACACATTGGATGCTTGGCCGATTACAATTCAGAAGTCATACCTTGACTGTTTTCAACTTGACATGTAAATCTTATCGTCGCTGGATGGTTTTGGAAGGTATTGAGCCGTACGTAAAGGTATTGCCTGCTCTAATGAATACCCTAGGAATTTCAAATAAGGATCCTGATTATCACGGGCCAGAAGCCAAAGAATTGAAAGTGATCATTGATGACACACTCACGCAGCAAACAAATGGGTAAGTCTGTGACCAATATTTACAATGCGTATATCCTTTTGATGGATTCATGCATAACAATCTGTCATATGTTCTGCAGTCATGATTGCGGGATATTCGTGCTATTATATGCGTTGTATCTTATCCGTGGTGGTAGATGTTCCATTCCCCGGAAGTTTGATGCCAGCAAGTTCAGAATGGATATTACTACGCTGCTCTACAAACACCGACATGTTTACACAAAGAAAGTGAATCAGCCTACGACGGGGGAAACGGTTATTATAGAATGAAAAGTGGCTTTAGATTTGTTAGTGAAGAAAATGATTTAGTTTGTAAATGTTATAAACATTGCACGTGTCTAGTCAATAGAGTTTCATGTAATGAATTGCAAGTCATAACCTTTGATTTGCAGTAAAGGATATTAACATGTTTAGGTTCATGATTTATCCATCTTCGATTATATTTTAACGCTATTTTTTATATAAATTGTGTAAATTTTACAGATTCTTTATTTCTAACAGCGACACGTAGTCGGTGAAACATATCATATTATACAGCAGACAGGTCACATTTGGATTCTGAACTTGGTCACAGATTTACATATCACGTCACACATACCTTTCATACGACACTTCACATGTCACAGCACATGGGTTACAGATATTCTGATTTCTATAACCCGTATGTGTCCACACTTCAGGTCACATATTCTCACTTCAGGTTACATATGGTATGTGTCCTCACTTCAGGTCACATATTTTCATTTCAGATTATACATTCATAAATCAGACAATTTTTTCATACGGCGCGTGTCCTCACTTCAGATCACATATTCTCATTTTAGGTTACAGATGGTATGTGTCCACACTTCAGGTCACATATTCTCATTTCAGGTTACACATGGTACGTGTCATCACTTCAAGTCACATATTCTCATTTCAGATTACATATTCACAAATCAGGCAAGTTTTTCATACGGCATGTCAAACATTACTGGTCACAGCATAGAAGTCACAGATCTGGTATCATGTTACAGATATGGTCCAAATCACAGAGAATTATTATTCTAACTCCAAAGTTGATAGACAATTAACTGTAAGTTGATCAATCTGAATGCAGTCTTTAAAGAGACTATTTAAAATGAACATTATCCTTAAAAGAATATCACCTATCTATGAAATATTTGTATGTAATTCTATCGATCATTTTAGCGTAATGGAGCCAAGTTGGAGCATTTCCTACTGTTGTGACCCTGTCCTCCACAATGTCCGCATTTTGTCGTCGGTCTCCCTTCTCTGGATGATCTCTTTCTTTTCTCCGTAGGTCTTCCACAACTCTTCCTTTGGTTAGGAGGTAAAACTATTTCTTGCTGTACCTCTTCTGGTACTGTCCATTCCTCTTGATTTCCAACTGGATATACAGAATCTTGGTATGCATTCAAGTACGCATCTCTTGTATAGTAATAGGAACAGTAATCATATGGATCTCTTCTTGTGTTTGCAATTACAGCCAAAGCGTGTGGACACGGTAACAAATCAACTTGTAGAATCATGTAAGTGCATGTTCGTTGCTCAATATCGACGACAAACGTCGACCTTTCGTTGTTGACAGAAAATACTTTCTGATTTGAAGGAGAAACATGCGTGCATATAACAACAGTCAGGTCACATGTAGTTGAATATAGGTCACATATACTCCAATGTGTCGGCCACACATAAATGACTCATATCCCTGAGTCATTCACAGATTCAGGAAGCATGTTATATATGCGGTCCATACCTCATTTAGCAGATAGACATGCATCATAATACAAATTTGACAGAGAATACACAGTTACATCACATACCACATCACTTAGGTCACATTCACAAATTTGTTCCATTCACAGATAGCTATGAAACAGAATTCGGAGCTTCAAACTTAGTTTACCAACCAGGTCACAGAATCACAAAATAGGTCACATCAGATTTGATACATTACAGTTCAAGATACTGACATTTACATTGGGTCACATATACATCTCAATGTTAAAATATAAAAAATTACCCTCAAGTTTCTCAAATCCATGCTCATTTTCCTAATCTCTTTCTCGTACTTGCTCGACAACTTTGTGAAAGTTCCATGTTCATCATCCTTGTGTCTACAAAACCACGATTGTATGGTTTGCCGTAATGACTCTAGGAGGGAAACAATAGGGTAATTTTTGGCTGCCTTTGTGACCGCGTTGACCGATTCCACAATGTTTAATGTCATTGTAGAATACCTGTTTGTTGGCATATGTATTCGTGACCATTTTTCAGTTCCAACATCAGCCTGCAAACTTAAATCAATCATTAAGTTCATTATGTAAATACCATATGTGACCATTTATATGTATGTGAAATGAAATAAGACTAATTACACTATCAGGTAAGAAATTATATTTTCATTCATCGTAGCCAGCAGAGACATGTTATAATCATATTCTTCCAGCGTGTAAGCGCAAACAGCTGAATTGAATGCTTGCGTAATGTTTTCGCCTGACTTTCCATAATATGATTTTAGATTTTGCAACAAATGATAAGAACAAATACCGTGACAGGCTCCCGGATACACATGTTCTATTGCATTCTTTATACTGGGGTGACGGTCTGACACAAAGCACATCCCTTCTTTGTTTCCATACGCTTTCTTCATCTTATTGAAAAACCATCTCCAAGATTTGTCGTTCTCATTGTCTCCAATTCCAAAAGCAAGAATGAATATACTATTATTTGCATCTTGTGTACATGCTGTTAAAAGTGTACCTCTATATTTACCATTCAAGTATGTACCATCAACAACAATCACCAGTATACAATGCTCCCATCCCTGTATTGATGCACCTAGTGCCATAAAGCAATATTTGAACTTACTATGACTATCAACCTCTATTTCTGTGATCGTACCAGGATTTTTCTGTCGGAGCATGTAGAAGAAGCTTGGCAACTTACCAAATGACTCGACTGAATCACCCCTAATCATTTTCAAAGTTTGCTCGCGAGATCTCCAAGCTTTTGAATAACTCAAATAAACCCCATAAGTATTCAACATGTCACTGCATATGTCCTTTGGTGTATATATAGTACGGGACGATTTGTATTTGTACTTAATTGTAGATGACACAACCTTAGATGACACTTGCCTATGTGACCCCAATACTACATTTGATGCACATGTGTGACTACAAATCTTTCAAATCTTAAATAGATTTGTTTTACCCCATATCGATGATTTACATATCCAACTACATCCACCACTCGAACACCGCACAACATATTTTCTCTTGTCGGACTGTTCAACCATAAACTCAAACATACTCTGTATGGCAAAAAATGACAGACTCATTTTCAAAACATCTTTATCACGGAACACCCTTCCTTCTTCTACCTCTCTAGCATCCGCGATAGACACAACTGTGACTTCAGTGTCAAGAATGTGACCCATTTTTTCATTTGATGTTTCGCATATCTCTAGTGCCATGTCTTGCAATGTAAACATCTCACCGATGGAATGCGCATTGACTGCCACTGTGATGGATGTATTATCTATTTCTGCCTCAGCAACGTCAACGATTATCGGATATTTAGCA